AAATTTGCCTAGATTACACAATATAAATATCATATGATCATCACCTGATTTCAATTAAATGTTATTGTAAAAAAATTTGTAATGTGATCACTAGTAAAAATGATCGATGTTTACCCTACCCTTAAAAAAGCAAAATAAAAAAAATTTTTTACTTTATAACCAATCTTTAATTTGATTGATCAGCGATCATTCTTGGATCATGCTTTAGAAATTTCCAGAATCGATTGAGCGATGATCTATTTCCATAAAAGGTGTGATCATTACTATCCATTTATAGTATATTCCTGGACTGAAGTGCATCCAGCAAACCAAAGTAATTAAATTCAGTATGCTTAATATCTAATTCAATGAATTTCATATAGCATAACTCTCATAGTAAAAGTATAAATAGTAATGGCATTTTTAAACCACATAGGCATAGCTTCATACAAATTCTTGTCTGTATTTTCCTTCCAAACGATATACACTTAATGGCAGATGTAGCCAACAATTCAACTATTTTTGATGAAGATATAATACTTTTTGAATACTATTTTTAATACCTAAGATAAGTTTATTAAATTACTCATTATCTAAAACATTAGTACTTTCTAATAATTCTTCTTCAAAAAAAGAATATGGATCTTCAATGATGTTTTGAAGTTTCATTATTAAACATGCTATAAAATCAGACATTTGGTGTGTCTTTCTACCAGGAGATAGATTTAATAATCCAGATTCTTGAGTTAGTAATTGTAATTCACAATTGTATCCTGTAAGAAATTTGACCATTGGATTATAAAAATCTTGTCTAAAGCAAACTAAAAATTTAATTTAAATATTAAGAATTGGATCTTGAAGCCAATCTTTTAAAAGTTCTCATTTTTTGATATATGCTTTAGGTGTATTACTCCAGGCTTTTAGATACAGTTCTTCATTCTAAATATTGCTCAGCACATTTTAACTTATACAACTATCTTGATCAAATTGGTTGTTGATATTTTGTTAATTTGTATTGAAAGCATTCCTCATAAAGTTTGTAAATATAGTCTGATCAAATTTTCATTGTTTATCTTTATTAGTCTTGTTATAACCATTATGAAAATCCTATACTAAATATAATAAATTTGCAGGAAGTTTCTTTTGCGAAAACCCACTATATTAGGTAATTTTTTAAAAGCAATTTCTTCAAAATTATTCATTATAATATGTGCAACATGGAGTCTATATGGATTTTGAAACATATTAGTGTCATTTAATTTATTAAATAAGGTAATAGTGCCATTATTTTTACTGCTCATATAGTTGGTTTTATCTGAAATACAAATATGGCAATGTTGAAAATTTATTTGATAATTATTAAAAACATTATAGATTGCTTAAGCCACCAATTGTCCTGTACAATTTACTAAATCCTTTATTTCTAATATACAGAAATTAGGCTTATTACTTATTAAATTCCAGAATATTATACATAATACAAAGATTTTTTTCTGACTCTATGTAGACTCATCTACCATTATCTCAAAAGAAAAAATTCTGAAATATTCTGATTAAAGATTTGATTAACTTGAATTTCACTAATCTCATTATTCTATTACTAAGTGATTGAGATAAAATTGATATAAATAAATTATCTCCAGTTATAAAACCCAAGATCATCTGAGTAGCTTGAACAGTACTATGAAGTGAGATTTAACTGATTTGTAAAATTTGTATTGTTATATTAATAAATTGGATCATATATTCATTTTTATTTTTTATAATCATAGCTTGTATATTTGTTTTTAAGCTTTGTGAATTTAAAATTTAAGCAGCTGCACATACTTTTAAAAGATTTTGATGTTTATATTCATATTGAGCTATTGATCCTGCTAGCTGCTTAAGCTTATAACTTTTTTGAACATTGGAGTGTTCTAATTGATTTATTCTTTTTTGAAGTGCCTTGTTATTTTGAATTAATTTTTTTGAATCTTGGCCTACTTTGTGAAGTGAAGAATTTATAAAGCTTAATGCTTTATTTTGGATAAAAGAAGAAAACAAATTACCCTCATGTGGCCCATGGAATATCTCAATGTATTTAACAAGTGAATTGCAGACTTTAATTAGTCATCTGGCAATTGTTCAATAGCATCAATAAGTTTTTGATGATGTATAATTTGGGTTACTTTTTATCACTAGCTGATTGAACAATATCTTGATAAATTAGTTGAAATTCATTATCATTCATATGTAAAAGTTCTTTATTGATAATTTGAATTTGTTCATCTCGCTTAGAAGCCTTCTATGCATTGACTGATTTCTTTTTTTTTAAAAAAAAAACATAATTACTTTGGGACAATATAAAACAACACTTTACAGTTGAAAGTGCAAAGAAAAAGAGCGAAGGTAATCATGAGAATAATTTAGAAACTTACATTTTTTCATATTTAAGCATATGTAAATAATTTTCACTGATTATTTTAATTTTGCTGATAAAAAATTTGATCATATTAAAATTACTAATATACCTTACATAGGTTTGATTACATATACCGTGGAACACCCTAATATACTATGATGTAAGTCCTGTAATAGAATTTTTTAGTGTTTTATATATCATGGAAATCATGAAATGTCTGGTTCAAACACAATCTAACTACATGTTATTGTTAATGAAATGGCAGTAAGTTATTTTTTATAGTAAATTGTATAAAATCATGATAATTTCAATACAAACTAACTCAAAGTTAATCACATATTGTGGTCACTGGTGTCGCAGGTTAATCTATGACTTTCATCACTAGTCCAAACGACGAGCACTTGATCACTTCGTTATAACTGATTGTAAGTTTATTTACCAAACAATACTAATAGTTTATGGAACAAGGCAAGTATTTTGTTTATTACTCAAATGAACTTTATTAATTAAGCGAGACTAATACTAACCAACTAACTCTAACTATTATTACATTTGTTTCGCTTATATACATACTTCGGCTCACATTATTTACATTATAATTTCTTATACGATCATACGATTGTTTGACTCTTATATTACCACATAAATTTACCTCATAATTCATGCATACTGATTACTTTACTTCGACATAATATCACATAATACGATTGCATAATTGTTCATTATTTGATCTCCTAATTCCCGATTGATCACTTACTTATCATGTGCATCACGTGTACAAGATAACGATCGTTCGCTCACTTTACCTTTATTCCCATACAGGTTTACCGCATACTGTATATCACCATGACACTGGATTAACAAGTTTAGTGACAATTTTTCTTTTACAACAATTCTTGATATAAACATGATATTTCAATACAAACCAATTTAATCTTAAACACTGTGTGAGTTGTATTAGCAAATTAGTTTTGAATAAGAATTTTTTACAGTAAATTATGTTATAAATCACGATAATTCTACACAACTGATTTGACCTCAATCACATACTGCCTGTATTCAATAGCTGTTAAATTCTGTAATAGAAAATACAAATAAGATGGGTGGCGAAGCGCCACCCATCGAACTAGTATGTATAATAAATTAAAATACATTTGTATATCACCTATTAAAAAGATCAGATCTTTGAATAAATAAAATTATTTAATAAAAAATATTTTTATTTAATTTTATTATTACAGTATGTAAAAATTATTTAACAAGATGTGATCTTCACTAACAATTAAAAAATCTATAAACAATTAAAAAAAGAAATCAAATTAAATAATATGAAAACTTAATATTTAAAATAACAAACATAGACACTTTGACTGAATATAAATTCTACCATTTAAAGTTAAATGCTTTTCTTTCAATAAAACTGCGACCTATATTGAACCTACACCAATGCGACAACCGAATTACTTGCTAAAAGTTGGATGAAAATTTTTAAGAAAATGTTTCATTATTTTGAAGTTGCAAATTTTCTTCTTTCTCATCTAACTCTATATTGCCATTAGCATTATTCGATTTTGCTTCAAGCAGATTAGGGATCCTATCTACAAATTTTGTCATTACAAAAATAGTAAATGCCGTGCTAAACAACTCGGCATAAATATAAGTTGGTAATTGATGTTCAAAACGTCCAACTTCTCGATAAATCATCATTGCTAAGAGTTGTATTATATCAATAGTGAATAAAAAAGATTGATGAAAAATAACACGACGAATGCGTTTATCATTTTTTAATTCACGAACTTTTTGAAATAACCTCAAATAAAATACAGATTCAGCAATGATATAATAAACGCGAAAAAAAGGAGCAACTATATCTCGTACATAATATATTTTAAAACAAGTAATCCAACATAGAGGATCGCAATAAGAACCTCTACACTTAAAGCCATCTACGAAGAAAAATGTTGTCGTCATGACTACTTCAATGATGCGTGCAGCGATAAAAATGTAAGCAATTAATCTAGATAAAGGGCTTGCAAACTTCCTCGAGATACTAGCGGCACGTTTATATGCAAGATATATCATGGACGGCTTGATGATGAGGTAAAATATTCGAGTAATTGGAAGTATCGTATAATATAAATATATCGATGATTTATCAGAGCACTTTGGAAAGCTCACTTTTGCAGTGTATGTACAATTGGGATCTAAATTTATCAAGGCATTAGAGTCATCAGAGCAAATTTGACTTGCTCTTATTAAAAAAACCATGAGTATTTCATTGATCAGTATTGAAATATTTATGGGAAAAAGAAGACGATAATTTGAATTGATTGTCTTATCAACTATCGCTCGCAAAAATGAGTCCGCAGTTAAGGCAAGACTCACAGCAAGAAACAATGACGAGGTAATTATTTCAGGGCTAGAAAGGTATGTGGTATCATAAATTGAAGGATTCATATTTGTTGTAAATTGGAATTTTCTAGGTAAAGTAGTCTTTTTATTTTTGTTAGAGTTGATAACAAGAACTTTTCTAAGACTTCTTAATAAATGAAGAACGGAATTAAGGTCCTAATATCCAATTAGAGTTAACAAATAAGGTTTTATCGGTAAGCATGGTCAAATTACATCCTATGATTGGCGTATTATAAAGTTGCACGCATTATTCTTTCATTATTACTATATAAGTAATAGACGTTCTGCATAATCCATAAATTTTGGATTATGTTGGCACGCACGTACGTACGTACGTACGTATGTAAATACAAAGTATCTCGGCAAAATAGGCAGCCATTATAGTAACTATATTTCTTTGCCTTTTCTAAACTTTGTTTGAAATGGATACATACGCAGTTTGTGCGAGATCTTGTGTAATCTTTTGATATAACCATAATTCGGACTAATTGTCATGTTGTAGACGGAATAAAATCTGCATACATCAATGCTTTTTTTTTTATTTTATAAAATTGATCTTTTTCTATCGTTATCGCAGATAAGAAATTCGATGAGCCCAATTATAGATTCTGTAGGACATGTATGCAACCTTCTACGTATATATATTTATGCAGCTTGTTATATTTAGTACGTACGTACGTACGTATGATATGGGAACAACTAATTAACTCCAATAGGAAGTTAATGGTTTTCATTATGTTGAAGTTTTTAGAAAAAATATTACGTATCCAATATTGCTTTTATACACACTGATTGTGACTTGTTCATTAAATCGGGATCGGGATCATTTTATCACAAGTACTGAAGTAACTAATATCTCTATTGTATATCACTTCATTCGTCCCTTATAACTTTGAGAATTATTAGGTTACATCCAGAATCGTTATTATACATATTTATCACTTCTAAATTTCTTGTATATATTTCCGGTTCTTATTTATACTTCTAACTCGATCTCAGGTTTTGGCTAATCCAGAATCTTTAATTAGCTGCCGATACGAAAGTATCGGAACAGCTTTTTGTCTCGAATCAATTGAGGGGTATAGTAATTGATCATTGATGCATTGTCGAGATTTATCGTATAATTTTGTCGGTTGATTCATTGTCATGGTTTATCATATGTTTTTGTACGAAATATTGTGACGTAATGACATAGTATTTTGATTAATAATCGTTAGTAGGAACGGAGGTTTTCCCAGAAAAGGTAATTTCTGTTTTTTCTACTAACCCGACTTTGCGACTATTGAAGCTATTTTATTTGATGGCCTATCGGGACGGCAGTCATTGTTTAATTGTCGGACGACAGTCATAATTTGAGTTTTGTAATAGGATGTTGCCTGTTGGTACTAAGAATTTCTCTGGCTTTTGTGTAATAGCACTAATTAGTTCTGGTTTGCATGGTAAGCGGCTGGTTTTTTTCGTACTGCCCTCCAAAATTGCCGTCATAGTAACATTCATGGTAAACAATTAGAGATGGGATAAAGTCGCATTTTATATAAAATGCGAATGAAGCCCATCTCTATAAACAATAGTATAGGCTGTTAATTCGATACTCTCAATTCTGCAAAGCACGAAAGTGGAAGGGACAGAATAACCATAGTTGCTTCTCAATTGTAACACCCTTCGATAAGAGACAAAAACTCGTACCTCAGATTCGGGTTGATCCAGAAACTTTATATTTCTTTTAATCACCATATATATCTTTTTTACTTTTTTTATAATGATATACCGAACTTTTTTAAACTATTTGAGTTACTATGTATGATAACGAAGAGTAAAGTTGCTGTTTAAAAAAAAAGAAGAAAAATAAAATACGTACTTAAATTTGAAAAAATAGTATAGAAGTGTAATAAGAACCTGATAATATATTAGTTATCTGCTAGTGGACAACTCTTATCTTCTCGAATGAGAGATAATAAACCAAATCTAACGAATTAAGTTCATATATATTGATTAAAAAAACTCGATATCGTTGAACATCAAAGTTCCTTGTGAACACAGATTTCAATCTTCGAAGCTAAACTTGCATATTTATTTATTTGCGATGCTCTCTTAACTGATGATACATATAATGTGTCCAAAAGTGAAAATCATAACTTATACTGACAAATAAGAATGGTCCGTTACAACTCTAATGCTAATGCCTATTTAGTTACAATACCTTTCTGACCTTACATAGCGAGGTTTGTCATGCGGACAATAAAGTTAAAGGAAATTAATTAAAAATACAAAGGCCATTACACCTGTATATTCGTGATAATAGCACTACTATTGGCTGCTAAATCACGAAAAATAGTTATCAAAATTTTATTTGATGATTACTGTCCGAACGTAGCAAATTATTCATAATAGTATTAAAGGTCGTTTCAAAAAAAAAAAAAAAAAAATGCAGAAGCAATTATGATTGGCCATTGCGATATATTAAGTTCCGGATATTAATAAATTAATTTTTTAAAAATCAACTTAGTCGACAAAATTGATCAAAATATAATAAGCCGTATGTTAAGTAAAAATTGCTCAATTTTTTTTTTTATTTAAATTATTTTATTTAAATTACAAACGTACATTATTATAACAAAGTTACAATAAACAATTTTTTTGCTCAAAAATAGCAACAAAATTTTATAATATCTACAATGAAACGAACTAATTTTATCTATATTTTGATTACTTCGAATACTTGATAATCATCTACTTCAAAGGAACCCACCGAAGATCTAATCGGTTTACTATAATTTTTTTGTTTACAATACCACTTATAATTTAATGTCATGTCATTTATCAAGGATAAATCGCTCTTCCCGAAAGAAACTGCGTACTCATCCTTGTAATAAATAGCTTTATCGGGATTTTTTACTTTACTAAAAATTGTTTTTTCATCTTTAAAGGAAAAAATAAACGCTTTATCAGTTACTCCATAATCACTAGTAGGCATCACTCCAAATTTACGAGGTGCTGTTTTCCATTTAATTGGGTTGTATCCACCAAGTATTTCTCCCGTCGCACGAACTCTTAATACCACAACGGTTCCTGATATATTATCACAGTGTTTATGAAAATTTTTAAATTCGGCTCCATCACTATCTCGACCACCCATATATCGTAATCTAAATTCGCATCGAATAATATTATTTTCATAAATCCAATCAGAGATCTTTTCGGCCTGACTTCTTGTGATAATATTTGTTGTATTTATAGAAATTGTTAATTGAATACTGAAATATTCTGAGTGGTCAGATGAAGAGCTTAAACTCGATGAATTATCAGTCGTTAATGATGGCGTCGAAGCTCGTCGTTGGCGATCACTATACGTTATAAACTTATTATCCACTTCTTTCGAAATTTCTTCAAGGCATCCTAAGATTTCGTTTAAATTTGGTCGTTGTTCTGGTTCAGGTGACCAACATTTTTGATATAGCGAGACATAGTCTTCAGGTGTACCATGAATAGGAGTTTCTCGGCCGCCTATGATAATTTTGTTGAATATTTTAGAAACACTAATATTTTCAAATGGTGGTTTTCCACTTGTAATTTCCCACATTATTACTCCTAGACTATAAATATCAGATTTTTTGCCAAGTGTATTATCTTTTTGTATTAGACACTTGGGGTCAAAATATGCTGGTACTCCTACTATATTTGAAAAGGTTGAAGAGGTTGAGATGCAATTTGATTCTTTTGCTAATCCAAAGTCAGCAATTAAGATACGTTCACCATTTATTAGAATATTTCTTGAATGCTATTAAGTTGAAAAATTATTTTTGAGTTCCAAAAGCGAATCATAATTTTCATAGACATGATATGTATTTCAGGTTCTGCCCATTTTTTTTATAAATGAAGCGAGTCAATAGAGATCAGGCAAATAACTATTTTTAAGGATTAAATAAAGATAATTCTTTACTACTCTACAAGTCGTTAGAATTATCTTTATTAAATGTCAAAAGGTTAACTCTTATTGACTCACCCCAACATTTAAGAAATTTTAAATTAATACGCATTATTCGTCTCTAATCATGATATGTGAATATATGATGACTAAGAATAAATGCGTTATCTACATCACATATGGGCGTGAAGAAATACATCGACATTCATTTCATGCTATTGAGACATGAGACAATTACTTACTAAATCTCGATGAATGATATTATTTGAGTGCAAGTGTTTTAATCCTTGCACAATTTGCTCCAAAATATTAATAACCTTGCTCAAAGCTATTGTAAAAACATTATTATTCCATCGAAGCTCTAAATAATTTCGCAGATTTCCATCTTTGGCATATTGCAACACCATTATAAAATCACCCAAATATGGATCTAATATATATATATATATATTAAATTTTAATTCAAGGAACGTTTTTCATAAACAAAAATATTTTGCTTCTTATACCTTTAGTGATTCCATGAAATCTATTAATATTTTCGTGATTATTAACTGTATAAATTTGTTTAATCTAAAGCATAATTATCATAATTATTGTTAAATGTTATTCGTTTGAAATACTGTAGATACGTAATAAAAAATTTTTCTCACTTCATTAGCAAAATTTATAATTGAATTATTCTGAGTAAACCGCTTCAACGCGACTTTTTGTTCGCCATAATCGGCAGAATAAACTATTCCATAGCCACCTATATAAAAAAAAGGGGGTTATTTTGTTAATAATATTACATAAAGCTTACTATACATTAAATAATAAAGTTTTTTTTTTTTACCTTGTCCTATTTCTCTAATATTAAAAAATTCCGAATATCCGAATTTAACAATCCGACCTTCGTCTATAGCTTTATAATACCATTCTAAATTTCTTAAACTTTGTGCATGTGAGTCAATGTTATGTTCACCGTTGTTCCTATCATCTACACAAAGAAGATTTGAATTTAACAGTATAATTAATTCGCTTATTTCATTCATATATTTTAGTTTATCAGTTTGAATTGTTTAAATTAATATCGAGTTGTTTTATATGAGGAATGCGAGGAAAAGAACCAAAATTGTGATATTTAATATACGGATTATTTGGGGACAAATTCCGTCGTGTTCAGTTGCGTCGTTCAATTATGTTTCATAAAATCAGCTTAGTGCATCCTTATATAAATTTGCTAAGTAATAAATAAAATTAAGCGTAGTAAAACGGAGTTAATAACTTGCATTAAGTTTATAAGTTTGCATATTTAATTCGACCAATGATCTATCAAAGTTCATCACGATACTAAATTAATGGCTATAATTTATTGGCTAATTATTAATTAAAAACCATGTGATGTGAATAAAAAAGCTACGTACGATCTCAAATTTGGAAACGCGTGATAATCATTACTTGATTGGGGATAAGTTAATTATAGTAGACGGGTAGACATTTTTATTATATGGCTATAATAATAATAAATTACCCGGATAACCGGGTAATTTAATAATACCCGGGTAGAGGTTTTCTTGACGGGTACAATCTCTAAATTATAGTACTGTAGTATTATCGTTATCGTCATACAGTATTATCCATAATATTAAACTAGATAGCTGCGCGACGTCTTCACGAGATCAGAATCAGAATATTATACTTTTGTGTTAAAATAAAAATAGCTTAGATTAAATACTGTATATAAAATAATAAATTAAACTTATAAATTCTGTATATAAAATAATGTTATATATTTTTAAGATCTAAAAGTAAGTTTATAAATTCATAATTTTGAGTCCCGTGATTATAATTTATGGTATCATAATCACTTAAATTCATTAAATTTTGCAAAACTCATTTAATAAACACCTTTCTTAACACATGCCTGACCTAAAGATGCGTCAGACTGGTTCTATACCCTAGCCATGGCGAAAAAATTGTCAGGCAAATGAGATTTCACTTGAACGCCAACATTCTGATTGGACGAAATTAATTATCCGGATGTAATTTTTTTTCAACTTTGAACGAAAATATCTCAACAATTACTTATTTAAAATCAATGAAATTTTTTTTTATTCTAATTCTTTATATCTGTATAATTAAAAAAATATATATATTAATTTGTATATGTTGTTGTCAAGATATCTTCTCTAAAAGCTGCAGTAATGGTTTTTCCAAACATTTATCAAAAATTAATATTTTAATTACATATATATATAGAATCGGTATAAAAAAATTTCATTAATTTTAAATAGGTTGTTGTCAAATATTTTTGCTCAAACTTTAAAAAGAAAACTTATCAAAACAAGTTGTGGCAAAGCAAAGTTTTTTTTCAAAAATATCTTGAAAACTACCTATCTAAAATCAATGAAAATTTTTTTATTCTGATTCTATTTATTTTTCTATATAATTAAAATAAAAATATAAACAAGTATTTCTACATCTGACTTTGGTATTTTCACACTCTTGTAAATTATAAATTAAAATTAGAATACTATTTTATAAAGTTAATGATAAATTTTTTTATATTTAAACTTATAAAAAATTGTATTAAGTAAACTAAATTTTATTTCTTAAAAAATATTTGTAGAGCAGGTTTTTCTGATTCTAATAGTAGTAAAGTTATTAAAATTGGTTAAAATTTAGTGAAATATAAAATTTTAAAGATTAGATATAAAAATTTGTTAATAAAATTAATATATAGTTTAATGTAAATTAGCCAACTAAATTTAACAAGTTTGTGTAATTCTAGAAAATTTTGAGCCAATTCAGAAAAATTTTGTAATATATATATTTAGCTTCATTTTCAGAATTTGTTGACTACAAATCAATAGCTGTTATTTTTTAATCTTCACTGATTGAAAATTAATTCAAATCATTCATGATGTATTTTATATTAAACTAAAATTTATCAATATAAAGGAAATTGTATAATATAATATTACATATTTTGTCAATAAGCAAAAAAGTATATAAAAGTATATTACAGTAGAATATATTTGAATAAAATAGTATTATGTATTTTGTTGGTAAAATATATTTGCATAATATAATATTACATATTTTTTGTTAAAATTGTTAGTAAAGTATTTGTATAGTATAATATTACATATTTTTTCAAAAAGCAAAAAAGTATATTTCAGAATATATTATATATTTTATTATCTGTACAATAAAACTCACCAGTTGGTTAAGATAATTCTTTGAATTTCTTCTATATTATTTTATTAAATTTCTTTTATATTATTTTATTAAAATTTTTCTATATTATTCTATTGATATTATTTTACTAAATTTTTTTATTATTATTTAATTATAACGTTACAAAGCTTTGATTTTCTAAGTCATGAGACTTTGAGCAAATTCTTCAAACTTTTATTAATCAAAGAAAAATAAATGTTACCAAATGAATAAAAATTGCTATAATGAGTGTTTGAATATATTGAAAAATTCCAGCTTTCTACACAATTCAAATTTTAAGTATTGAGTTATTCATACTTTCAAATACATTTTATTAGTTCTGTTAGAAAGCTTTATTTAATTAAAAAAGTATTAATTTAGAAATACAAGTTTGTAAATTGAAATTTTAGTAAGGTAATTTGTGGTGCTTATCAAGCAACTGATATTGGAGAACAAAAAATAACTTTAAAAAAAGTGAAGTTTAATTTTTGTATTAATAGGCAATCCACTAGTCATCTGGATAAAAAATTTTTTTTATATATAAATTTTACTATAAGTGCAAATGCACAGTGTCTCTATCTAAAACTTTTTTTATATTAAGTAAATTACTCTTTAGCTTCTAACAAAAGTTGTAGAGCTCATCAAAATGTATTTAATACTGAAAGAATATTAAAATTGGTTTGGTAATTCTTGAGAAATCTTTAAAAAACTTCTTTTTCACATATAAAATTTTTTTAAAAAAAATTAATTTTTTTTAAAGAAATTTTATGTGAAAAAGAAGTTTTTTAAAGATTTTTCAAGAACTACCAGACCAATTTTAATATCCTTTTGGTATTAAATACATTTTGATGAGCTCTACAACTTTTGTTAGAAGCTAAAGAGTGATTTACTTAGTATAAAAAAGTTTTAGATAGAAGTACTGTGTATTTGCACTTATAGTAAAATTTATATATAAAAAAAATTTTTTATCCAGGTGACTGGTGGATTGTTTATTAAAAACTTTGTTTACATTTATACTTCCAAAAATGTGTATGCTATGCTTATTCTTTAATCTTATTATTATTATGGAAATTATATAGATCTCTAACTAATCCATCATAAACCAGCTTAGAAACAGGCTTCATACCTCTATTAGAACCCTATTTAATTCTAGCAGCTTTAGATAATTGTTTGGTGTAAAAAAAAAATCTTGTTGTAAAGCATTTACTAATTTGGTTTAAACTTACCAATTGGAATATCTAATTATTAAATAATCATTTGACTTGTAAAAAAATTACAATTTTGTTTGTATATACCTGTATCTTATGAGAAAAGATAAGATAAAACCTGTTAATCTTGACATAACTCATATAATTATTTAATTACCAATTTTAAACTAGACCCAATCCAGACTCGGCCTGACTCTTAACATTATTAACCATAGCTACCAAGGACCAGCAGATTCTCAATTTTGGTTAGCCAAGAATGATGATCAAAAAATTAGGCTAGAATTACTCATAATTTTACTATTGAAATCATAGCTGATTATTAAGTGAAAATTGTTTCTGGGCCAATTTTACCATAATACAGACTTATTTCATAAGAATTTCTATTTTGTAATAAAATATAAAAAAGCTAATTCTGGCTAGAAATTAGGAAACAAATCTGTACTGTGGGCCAAAATTTTGAGAACCCTCGGCTATTATCCAATCAAAATCAAGAATTAGCCAATCCAATTTTGTTGCGGCAGCTATAGTTAATATTAACATCTTTAATTAGCATTGGTATATATCTATTAATATAATATTTTCTAAAAAACATTTTGTAATTAATACCAATAGTGGTAGAGGCAAATAAACAATTTCTATATAGCAGATAAATTTAAATACAAGTATGATTAACTTTATATAATAAGATTTATTTAAAAATGTGAATTTACAAATTTGGAATTGTTTTACAAATAAGCATAATGCACATATTATGATTTTATCTAATAATTCAAAAATATATTTACTTCATGCTAAAAGTAGTATATCAGAAACAGAGTAATGCATATCATATATATGGTAATTGAAATAATGTTGTTTTGCAAAAGCTTGGTCTATATAACTCTAACTATTACCTGTTATTTATTTTTCACATGTCAAGCATCAAATTGTATACTGCTAAAAGATGATCTTATTTTTAATATACATATGTACATATATTCTAAAACATTGTATAAGTATGTGCTATTCAAAGTTCTGTTGATGGAAGCTAATTAATTAAAATATTATATCTAATGGATTATATTTCATTATAATATGAGGTTGTGAATAAAAATTTATATATATATCGAATATTTTAGCTGCTACATACATCTATTAACTAATGATTTTGTGTATAATATAATTAAAATAAGTTTTTTTGTTAAATGAAATATTTAATAATGAGGGTGGCAACTTAGTGTAGTAGTCTAGTTGTCACTCTCTCTAAGTGGCAGGTCTAGAGTTCAAATCCCACAGACAATAAATTTTGAATAATAGTCTGTGCTATGATTTATGGTTGTTAATTATCAGTTGGATCTAGAACTAAATCAGTAATCTTGGTCACACCATCTAGTTATGAAAGCTTTGGTGCAATAAATTCAAGGAACCAGAATAACTGAAAACCAAAATGACCCAAATAACAAATGACTAGTCATTGGTTATTTCAAAACCTAAATGATCTTAGAAGGTTATTTAATATATGTTAGTTAATATTCTAATATTTTTTAACCAATTAGAATTGGCCGCCAAACAAAATTAAATTTTATAAAAATATTATATAAGCAATTCAACCAATAAAATTATTTTATAGGCAAATGACTCAAATG